GCAAAATCTATAATCAATTTATGAATTCATGGTCAGGTGAAACATTAAGAGGAATATGGGAGGAAATACAAATGAATGTCCATTAGGCTAGAATAATATTTTAATGCAAACCTACAAATGTTTATTCAAAAGTAAGGCACACTGTATTCAGTGGGACTCATCTCACATACATTTGCATATGACTGCAGCTTTGTTATGGTTCTTCTGGACAATTAGGCATTCCCATGTAGTTTCACCCACGGTGAATTTGATGGTAAAATAAAATAATATTCTTCTTTATGTAATCTATGAATAGTTTGGTTTAGCATAATTGTGTGGGGCAAAAAAATTCTTATAGGAAAAGCAAAGGCTTTTCAGAGAGGCTTCATACCTACCTAACTACCTACCTCCATCCTGACCCTATAAGGTGACACAGAAGAGAATTATAAGGTATATCTCTATTTGAAATGACTGGATAAGATAAGAGCTGCTCCCAGTGACATTTTAGTTAAGGTCAAACAGATGACAGATGCTTGCTATCAGCCTCCATTGAGCATGGCCAGATCATGAGACTCTGGGTGAAAATGGATAGTGATTTCTCCAAAGCCTTAGGCATGTTTCCACTGGTAGTTTGCTCCTATGACTCTTGGAAAAAAAAGTTAATGATTCCTACTCTTAATCAACTCCCTGAGCTATTACTCTTATGATATAGGAAGAATCTATGAAGATGACACACTTTTCCAGCTGTTTGGGACTTAGAAGCTTGTTGATGCTCCAGTCCTTACTCACATCTTATCAACCAAGAACTGGGTTGATATGAATATGGACAATGCAGATGTATGGGTGATGCTTGAGATTGTTATGTTAACAGTCATTTGTGCTATAAACCACCCTTTTCCAGCTAATTGGTTTGGGGAGAGAATAGGGACGTGACAGAAAAACAGGGCTATTTGATCACATACCTGATAATTAATGGCATATGAAATTGTGGTTGCCACAGCACAGTTAAACAACATTTTGATTTCAAAAGCTTGCATTGGAATTTTTGTACCTTTGCAGTTGCCATAATAAAGGTCATGGAACAGCATAGTCTTCAGATTTGTGGCATAAAATCTGGAGTTTGGAAATTTTACTTTCTTTGAAATATAACACCCACAATCCACCAGCCAGGATGCTCACAAGCCACATTCTGTGAGTGAAAGTCAAAGAACTAGCTTTTCCAAACACTGATAAAATCCCACTGCTACTCCCCTCACACAAAGTGTGGGTGTTAAAAAAGATACGTTTAAATTTGCTGTCCTTTAATTGTAAAGTCTGGCATAACCTTGTTAAACACAAGGGGCCATTTCATACTATACAGTTATATAACTATGGTTCCTCTTTAACTGCCATAGTTCTATCCTATGGAATCCTGGGATTTGCACTTTGGGGAAAGGCATGTAGAACTGTCAGCCAGAGAGTTTTAGAGAGCCACCAAACTATAAATCCCAGGATTCTGTAGGATAGAATCATGCTGCTATAAATGTGTAGTGTAAAAGGGACTACTTGTGGGGGTGTTTTGCTCTTCCCAGCATCTCTTACCACTGATCATTCTAGGCTGAGGCTGATGGGAACAGAAGTCCAAAATAACCAGAAGGCAAAATGTGCTTGGTTTTGTATTGCTACTGTTTCATTAAAATGCTTCCACCACTATCTGGGTTCTAAATATGCAAAGAGATCTTGTAGCATCTTTGAGACTAACTGGAAGAAAGAAGCTGGTAGCATGAGCTTTTATAGACCTGAACTTTTGTAGACTTTAGCCTACTTCCTCAGATGCATGGAGTGCATTCATGAAAGCTCATGCTTCCAGCTTCTTTTGTAAAGTGCTACAAGATCCCTTTGCATACTGATTTTCCACACTAACAGGCTATGTTTTTGCATTCTACAGTTTCTGAGAATGGGATCTATTGTTGTAAAGTGTTGTATTTTTTTAATGTGGGTTTTTCTCACTTCATAAGCAGTTGTAACTATTAGCCTCTTGCCCATTTGCACCTCAAGCCCACTCATTATGTCACACATTACCATGTGGGCTACGCTCATCACATCTATGTTAGTCACTATTTTCCTAGACCAATAAACTGACCTCATTCAAGGTTCCCTACTTTCAATATGAATGGGACTTCTGGTGAGTCATATTTAGTTCCCATCTAGCAATGGAAGAGAACAGTTAAAGATACATGTATGTGGGTGGGGGAGACGTGGGACTACGTGAAGTGAAGCGGCTGATATGAACCTTACACAGGTTTTCCTGTGAAGCTTGGGTCAGGAAACCCCAACCTTGTGAGAGAGTTGAGTGTGTTGTGTCTTAGTTGGCTTGCAGCAACCCTTAGGTGAACCTACCATGGGGTTTTTTGGCAAGATTTATTCAGAGGAGGTTTGCCATTGCCTTCCCCTGAGGCTGAGAGCATCTGACTTGCTCAAGATCATCCAATGGGTTTTATGGCCAAGCTGGGAATCAGTTAATTGACCTATAACCCTAGTTGATGTATATGGTAGAATGTGGCAAACTTCTTTTTTTGGAGGTTAGCTCCCAGAATCCCTGAAGCCAGCATGATGAGTAGCCATATTGGCTGGTGCACTGTGGGAGCTTTAAAAACCCCAATCCACCCATGGTTGTTGCTATTACCTATATTTATACCCCTAAATTGGTAGTATAGGCAGCTTACAATTTAAAACAAATAGCTAAAAATTTACTAAGGGTCAAAATTAAATACAGTCGCCCTTCCTTATCCATGGATTCTGCATCCACCGATTCAACCATCCATGGCTGGAAAATATTTTTTAAAAACTCAAAAAGTAAATCCTGATTTTGCCATTTCACATAAGGGATACCATTTTACTGCACCACTGAATTTAATGGGACTTGAGCACCCACGGATTTTGGTATCCATGAAGGGGAGTCCTGAAACCAAACCGAAGCAGATACCAAAGGCCCACTGTAGAACTGAACTATTTATAATACTATTTAAAATATATACTTAAAATGATTAAAAACTGGTTTTAAAAGTATTAATGAATACAATTATATTATATTAATGTAATATCTCCAAGCTCTCTTTGCATACCTAACTCTGTAGATGTCTAGCTGCAATTTAAATTTCAAGGTTAAAGCCAACAAGGATTGATAATATTTACAGCAGAAACATAGGCCAAGAAGTGAAACTTTCTCTGTGTTATTTGTTTTTGCACATCAAATAGCAATTAATGCAGGGATGAGCAAGTGTGGTAGGACAACCAGTCAACCCTGAGAACCAGTGTGCCAAAAATGGTTGTTGATGTTGTCATCATGTGCCTTGAAGTCATTTCTGACTTACAGTGACCCCAAGGAGAACCTATCACAGGGTTTTCTGGGGCTGAGAGTGTGTGACTCACCCAAGGCTACCCAGTGAGCTTCCATACACACACATCACCCTAAGTGATCATAAGCTCATTTCAGGTTTTGAAAGACCATTTAACAAATATATGTTAAATCAAGTGTGGAAATCATGAAACCCAGCAGATGTACATTTTGGATCCCAGAGTGGAGAAAAGGTGGGATCCAAAACTAAAAAATGGTGAGGAATGCTTGCAGATGCAGTCCAGCATCTGGATGGCCACATGATCCCCATTCCCATGTTAAACCACCTTGTGGGAGATAGCTGTGATAAAAAAAATTAAACAAATCAAGGCTGAACTCTCCCAAGAAGCAAAGATGACTAAACTGAGACTGTCATACTTTGGCCACATCATGAGAAGACATGAATCACTAGAAAAGACATTTCTCTCTTGGGGAGGTAGGAGGCAAGAGGAAAATATGGAGACCATATTACAGGCAGATACACTCCATCAAGAAAGTCCTGAGATTGCAAAACCTGAGCAGGGCTGTTGATAACTTGGAGGTCTCTTATTCATAGTGTCACCAGAAGTTGAAGTCATCTAAAAAAAGCTACAAATGCAAAACTGGCACTTATGGCTCAATTGTACAGGGGAAATGCATCAGTTCAAATGAACTAGCACTTAACAATCACAAGGAGAGGAAATTCCAACTGGTGTTGCTTGTCAGCCAGATAACCACCAACATCTGCTGAAATCTCTCTTCTACACAACTATGAAGCAACTCTAGCTTTCAGACTGATTTAGGATAACTGGTTTGTGTTTTAACTTTTATTATTATTACTTTTGCTTTTTAAACTGTTTATCAAACATGGCATAGTGGTTTGAGTGTTGGATTATCTCTCTGGAGATCAGGATTCAATTCCCAGCTGAACCATGAAACCCACTGGGTGACCTTAGGAAAGTCGCATGCTCTCAGCCTCAGTGGAAGGCAATGGCAAACCATCCCTGAGCAAATCTTGCCAAGAAAACTTCATGATAGGTCACCGTAAGTCGGAAGTGACTTGAAGGCACACCACAACAATCATGCTTTAGCTTTTCTGCAAGCTGCCCAGGGCCCCCAAAAGAGGAGAAAGCAACATACAAGATGAGTCTCCCTTATCCAGAATTCCTAAATCCAAAATAATCCAGATTGTCCACATGGCTGGCTGAGACACATTTGCTTTCGGATGGTTCAGTGTACACTAACTTTGCATCATGCACAAATGTATTTAAAATATTGTATACAAGATTACCTTTGGGCTGTGTGTCTAGGTGTACAGTGGGCCCTTTGTATATGCGGGGGATCTGTTTGTCTCCCCACGTATGGGAAAAACCGTGGCACCGCTGCATTTGGGGTGAGCGGACTGTATATGAAAATAGAAATCATATCTGGAGGAGCCACACTGGCCCTACAGCAAAGTACAACAATATCCAAAATCCACAAAATAGCGATATCTTTCTTGGCCAAGCAAAATGCACAAAATACATCATGTATTTTGTGCATTTTGGTTGGCCAAGAAAGATATCGCTATTTTGTGGATTTCGGATATTATTGAATGAAACAGAAATTATTTTCATGTTTCAATTTGGGTTCCATCTCCAAGATCTCTCACACACATATGCGTGAGGGCCAGCATGGAGTAATGGTTTGAGCGTTGGACTAGGACTCTGGAAACCACGGTTCAAATCCCAGTTCGGCCATGTAAACCCAATGGGTCTACAGCGTTTCCCAAACTTTGGTCCTCCAGATGCCTTGGACTTCAACACCCAGCATTCCTGATTGCTGGCCTAGCTAGCTAAGGCTTCTGGGAGTTGGAGCCCAAAGCACCTGGAGAAACAAAGTTTGGGAAACACTATATATGAAACATAAATGAATTTCAAGTTCCGACTTTGGTCCCATCTCCAAGATTATGTATATGCAAATATTCCAAAATCCAAAAAATAAGGAAATCCCCAAACATTTCTGGTCCCATGTCTTTCTGATAAGGGAGACTCAATCTGTGGGCCCAAAAGCACACTGCAGAAATAATCCAGTTTGAGACAGCTTTAACTGCCCTGGATCAGAGCTAGGGAATCCTGGGAATTTCAGGCAGTCTTGGATGAAACCGATTATCTCGACCCATTTCAAACCGGCTTCAGGACAGGATATGGAGTGGAGACTGCCATGGTTGCTCTGACCAATGACCTCCGCTTGAGTATCGACAGGGGTAGTGTGACCTTGTTGATGCTCTTGGATCTCTCAGCGGCCTTTGACACTATAGATCATGCTATCCTCTTAGATCGCCTGAGAGAGTTAGGAATTGGACGCACTGCTTTGCAATGGTTCCGTTCGTCCTCCCGGACAGATCTCAGAGGGTGAGGCTCGGGGACAGTTGCTCATCTAAAATCGAGCTTTATTGTGGTGTCCCGCAGGGCGCCATCCTGATTTATATGAAGCCGCTGGGAGAGATCATTCAGAGGCATGGAGCTTGG